AGAGAGAGAGAGGGAGAGAGGGAGAGAGAGAGAGAGAGAAAGACAGACAGATGTAGATAAATAGGCAGATAGATAGATAGATATATAGATAGATAGATAGATAGATAGATATGTAGGTAGATAGATATACAGATATATAGATAAAGAGAGAGAGACATGGAGAGCGAGAGAGAAGAGGGAGTTGTGATGGAGAAGGAGAGAGATTTTGAGATAGAGGAAGAGAGAGATAAGGAGAGAGAAACAGAGAAACAGAGAAAGAGTGAGAGACAGGCACAGAGGCTAGAGAAAAAGACAGAGACACACAGGGAGAAGCAGAGAGAGAGAGAGAGAGAGAGAGAGAGAGAGATAGAGGAAGAGAGGGAAAGAAAAACAGAGATGGGGGGATGAAAGGTATCAGATTGACAGACAGAAAGTAAGAGAGGGAGAAAGACAGAAGGTAAGAGAGGGAGAGACAGAAAGAGAAAGAGGGAGAGAAATAGAATGAGAGAGAAAGAGGGAGACAAAGAGAGAAAGAGAAAGAGTGAGAGAGAGTGGGGGAGGGGGGGAGAATGGAAGAGAAACGAAGTGAAAAAGAAGATAAAGGAAGTAGAAGGGAAAGAGACAGTGAGAATAATAAGTGATTAAGTATGTGTGCGCGCGCGCGCGCGTGTGTGTGTGTGTGTGTGTGTTGAGTGTCTGTGTGTTGTGTGTGTGTGTGCGCGTGTGTTTGTGTGTATGTATGTGTGTGTGTGTGAGAGCTTGATTGGCTTAGAGAACTAAAATGATTGAGATATAGTGTGAGAGAGAAACTGAGACAGACAGACACACACACACACACACACACACACACACACACACACACACACACACACACACACACACACACACACACACTAACAAATGCTCTCACTGACACAAATGTGTCCTCGAAAAGTGTACATTATCATGAAGCTAAGTTGCAATTACCTGAAATATCATCGTTCCTTGTCTCATTGTGTCTACTACCAACCACTGGACATCATTAACATTAAATTTTCTATTGTTGTTTGGTTGGCAATGTAGGGCAAAATACAGGATGCTGCTGAGACTTCAATTCGGAACCTACTT